GAGTTTATGTGTTTTGATGTACCGAAGGTAGTTTGGAGTCTCGGATATGATCACGGACATGACGAGGAGTCTCGAAATGGTCGAGACATAAAGATTGATATATTGGATGAGTATGTTTGGACTTCGGAAGTGTTCCGGGTAAGTTCGGGCATATACCGGAGTACCGGGGGGTTACCAGAACCCCCCGGGGAGTGTAATGGGCCTATTGGGCCTTAGTTGAGAAGAGGAGGAGCGGACAAGGCAGGGTCGCGCGCCCCCTCCCCCTCTAGTCCGAATTGGACAAGGAGGGGGCGGCGCCCCCCTTTCCTTCCCCTCTCTTTCCTCCTCCCCCCTTCTCCTACTCCTACTAGGAAAGGAGGAGTCCTACTCCCGGTGGGAGTAGGACTCCCCCCTTGGCGCGCCCTCCTCCTGGCCGGCCGCCTCCCCCTAGCTCCTTTATATACGGGGGCGGGGGGCACCCCAAGACACACAAGTTGATCATTGATCTTTAACCGTGTGCGGTGCCCCCCTCCACCATAATCCACCTCGGTCATATCATATAGGTGCTTAGGAGAGGTCCTGCGTCGGTAGCTTCATCAACACCGTCATCACGCCGTCGTGCTGACGGAACTCTCCCTTGAAGCTCTACTGGATCCTGAGTTCGTGGGACGTCACCGAGCTGAACGTGTGCATATCGCGGAGGTGCCATACGTTCGATACTAGGATCGGTCGATCATGAAGACATACGACTACATCAACCGCGTTGTCATAACGCTTCCGCTTACGGTCTATGAGGGTACGTGGATGACACTCTCCCCTCTCGTTGCTATGCATCACCATGATCTTGCGTGTGCGTATGAAATTTTTTGAAATTACTATGTTCCCCAACAGTCTCATTGAAGCCGTCCTCGGAAACTGAGTTATGTGTTTGTGATCCATGAACAGCTACTACCACGCGTTGGGCCCGAAACCAATGGACCCTCTCGGCTTCTTAACCACCTTTGTCCTCTGTCCAGGAGTTGCAAGTAGTTTCTGGTGTTTGTAGTATGCTAGAAGCCGTGCGCAGCGCTGACCCGAGGGATGGGTTGTGATGCGGTAGGCACGTGGTCGGGTATGTCAGGCGCCCGTTTGGTGTCGCGGAACCCTGTACACATCGTTCGGGGCCGTATGTGGAAACCTCGGCCGGACTCCCTGCGGATGGAACCTGAATAGGCGATAAACCTGGACTAGAGACTTGAGTGTTTAGGTAGGCCGTGGCCGACACGCTCGTTGGGCTTCCGCTTGAAGGTTGCCGAGTACATGTCGTGTAAACGGTGATAAGTGGTGAGAGCGTGTGTGAAGAAGTACACCCCTGCAGGGTTAACATCATCTATTCGAATAGCCGTGTCCGCGGTAAAGGACCTCTGGGTTGCCTATACAGTTCATAGACAAGTGAAAGTGGATACTCTAAAATATGCAAGATAAGCGTGAGTGATATGGATGGTGTTCTCGTAGGAAGATGGGAGCGGGTCCATAATGGTGTATTGATATGGTGAATATGTGGACTCGTATGCGCCACCTCAAAAGAGTTACTTGCAGTCGTATTTTAGGATAGCCACCGAGTCAAAGCTGGCTTGCTGCAGTTAAACCCCACCTTCCCTTTGTTGATAACGTTGCTTATGTAGTTAGTTCTGATGTAAGTCTTGTTGGGTACATTTATACTCACGTTTGCTTAATTTATATTTTTTGCAGAGAGACTTCAGTTTCGCTAGTAGTTCTGCGTGGACTTCGACATTTAGCTTGTTGCCTCAGCTACGATCTTGTGCCCTCGACAGGATCTGATAGATAGTCAGGCTTCTCGGCCTTTTTCATTTGTAGATGTCTATACCCAGACATGTTAAGCTTCCGCTTGTGTCTTTGGCTTGTATGCTCTCAATGTTGGGTCATGAGATCCATGCTTGTAATACTTGGCTCCTCGGAGCCTAATAAATAAATACTTTGAGTCATAGAGTTATGTTGTGATGCCATGTTGTATTTGCACATATCGAGCATATTGTGTATATGATTTGAAATGTTTGATATGTGTGGAATCTGACAACCTAGTTGTTCATCCTTGGTAGCCTCTCTTATCGGGAAATGTTTTCTGGTGCTTCCACTGAGCCATGGTAGCTTGCTACTGCTCCGGAACACTTAGGTTGACTGGCATGTGTCCTTCTTTGTTCTCGTGTCTGTCCCTTCGGGGAAATGTCACGCGTTGTTCCTTTAAGTCCATGTAGTTTGCTACGACTTGGGTTCATACGTTGTTGATCGACACGTTCGTTGTTGGGTCATGTATGTCTATTCCTGTAAGTTAGCGCCGTTTTGGGTCCACGACTAGTCACGTCAGCCCGGGTTCTTTGTCATATACTAGATGCTAGCGACACTATCATATATGTGAGCCAAAAGGCGCAAACGGTCCCGGGCCAGGTAAGGTGGCACCCGTGAGAATACTGTACGTGAGGTTGCAAAGTGATATGATGTGTTACATGCTAGATCGGTGTGACTTATGATCGGGGTCCTAACATTGAGCATATTTTGAGAAGCACCGTTGTGTAAAACAGAGGAAGATTAAGGAGTGATTTCAGTGGAACAAGTGAAAACCCACTTATACTCATGCTTTTTTAGGCAAACACCCAGGTGCACATGCTCGCATGGAGGCATCGCCAGAGGGCTTCTTTGCATCCCGGGCCTGTTTCGCTGGGAACTCTGGGTCCTTCAGAGCCAGGTTTTTTCTTCGAGCGGTCCTCCAAGGGAGCTCCTATTCGGCGCTGCAGGCGCTGGCTAGGGATACGGGCGCTCGCACGCCTGGCGTAGTGGGCCGGCCCAGGAAACGTAGTGAAGAGTGCGGATAGCAAAAAATGTGCACATGCTCGCATGGAAGCATCGCCAGAGGGCTTCTTTGCATCCCGGGCCTGTTTCGCTGGGAACTCTGGGTCCTTCAGAGCCAGGTTTTTTCTTCGAGCTGTCCTCTAGGGGAGCTCCTGTTCGGCGCTGCAGGCGCTGGCTAGCGGTACGGGCGCTCGCACGCCTAGCGTAGTGGGCCGGCCCAGGAAACGTAGTGAAGAGCGCGGATAGCAAAACTAGACCCGGGATTCAAACACGCACCGCTTGTAGCCAAACCTCCGAACACAGCCACTAGGACATACTTCCTTAGTTATTCTTTTTTAGGACAAACAAACCTTATTTTATACCCAGCCTATTATGCGTATTATTTTATGATAAAAAAATGAATGCACCATATTAAAAACGTGAATTTTAAGAAAGTTCATAAAACTGAAAAAGGTGCATACAAACTGAAGTAAATCGTGAATTTGAGAAAAAAATCACGAATTTGAAAAAAGGTCAGAAAATTTAGGATAAAGTAGATGACTTTTTGAAAAAAATTACACAAATTTGAAAAAAAGTTCATCGATTTTGAAAAAAGTTCACAGATTTTCAACAAAAATTTCATCGATTTTGAAAATAGTTCATCAAATTTGGGAAATAGTTCACCGATTTTGAAAAAAGTTCAGTGATTTTGAAGAAAGTTCACCGATTTTGAAAAAAGTTCATCAAAAATGAAAAAAAAATCACGGTTTTGAAAAAGTTAATCAAAATTGAAAAAAACATTCATCAAATTTGTAAAAAAGTTCATCAACTTTACAAAAAGTTCATCAAAATTGAAAATTAGTTCATCAAATTTGAAAATAAGTTCACAAAAGTTGAAAAAGTTCGTCCATTTTAATAAAAAAGTATGCGAACCAGGAAGAATAAAAAAGAAGAAAAAGAAGAAGGAAAGAAAAGAGGAAAGATGAAATGAATGGAAAAATGAATTTTGTCATGTGAGGTCTGGTGGTGGGGTGGTTGGTGCATTGTAGCTCGCGGGAGGAAGTCGCTGGTTCGAGTCGCACTACATACTTCTTTTTCGTTTTGAAAAACAAAAAATCTTAGATGGGCCGGCCCAGCTCCGAGCGCTGCAGGCGCCAGTCTGCAAAATGAGCTATAACTGGCGCCTGCAGCGCCGAATAGGGAATGCCGTCCTCCAGAGCCAGGTATATAAGTAGGTGCTAGAGCCGGGTATAGAGGTGCTTTAAGCATCGTGTCATGCAGGCCAACAGTGCTAACCAAACAGCCAGAAAACAAAAAAGACTGCACCCAGCGGGCCTGATTGGAGTTGCTGCAGATAACTAAACAGGCCCCAAAGCTCCGAGCGCTGCAGGCGCCAGTCTGCAAAATGAGCTATAACTGGCGCCTGCAGCGCCGAATAGGGAATGCCGTCCTCCAGAGCCAGGTATATAAGTAGGTGCTAGAGCCGGGTATAGAGGTGCTTTAAGCATCGTGTCATGCAGGCCAACAGTGCTAACCAAACAGCCAGAAAACAAAAAAGACTGCACCCAGCGGGCCTGATTGGAGTTGCTGCAGATAACTAAACAGGCCCCAAAGCTTTAGATCCTGAACATCTTTTCTCCTTGACGATCTTTTGAAGGTGGGCATGTAGCATGTCCACTTGCTTAATATCAAGACTGATGTCATGGATTTTAACTTTTGCCAGCATAAGTAGCACAGTACACCGCTGCTGAAATTAGGAAACCAGCTAACATTTTTCTTGCAACCAATTTAGGGGAATCCATCAGCATTTGAGACAAGGGAGAACAAAATTATTCTGTAGTTTTAAGTGTACAAAAGCACAATGTATTATTGATCATCGTCAATGCTACATCTTACACTACATTCATCTTCCTACGTAAGTTAATCAATGTTATATGGTCCATTCCCCTCTGACAAAACTGGAGCTCGCTCCGCGGCAAAACTGAAAGCCTTTAACATTATTACCAGGAGACAACTGGACCTCGTCCAGGAAAAATAATGCTGATTGCTGCTCACTTTGATCCTCTAATTTGAGCCTTTACCACACCTTACCCTGCCCAAAGCTGAGTGGCTGGCATAAACTAAGACGGATCTGGGGAATGTCACATGTTACTACAAAAGAAGGTGGTGGTTTTATCTTCCGGACAAAATCCTGGTCATGACATGTTCTTTTGGTGAAGAGCATACTTGACGACCTCGTAAAAGGAAATGACAATACCAACTGATGGTCCAGCACGAGCGACGCGTGGACCAACACCAGTGAACAAGCCTTTTGGACCCTCAGACCTAGCAGGATAAAATAAATCAGAGTGGACTGATCAGCGAGTGAATTACATATTGTGAAGGATAATTCTATGACTACAGCTACAAAGTTTCAATGAACAAAGCTTCCCCAGCCAAGACCTCCCTAGGTTAATGACTTGGAAAGGCAAACAAGAAAAGGCTGCAACAGGACATTGCACCAAAATTTTGGATAAAAAAATCAAGAGCAGTCATGAAACTTGATCCAATCCACTTCATTTCCGTTCAAGGATTCAAGGGATATATCATAAATAAGCAAGCCATGATTTTGTACACGGCAAATTGGATCATGAAGATAACCAGCTAACTGACCCTAAACCCTTTGCAAGGCTATGGGTCTCCCAGAAGAGGAGCTTCAACAAAAATTAAGAGGTGGCCAGGGGGTGTTGATTAATCATTTGTATGTAACGAAAAATTCTAAACAAAATCTGACAAAATTGGCACAACATACATCCGCCATGTCTCAAAATCTTTGAATCCAAATTCCATCACACTTCAAGACACAAAAAAGGGCAAATCTGACAAATGAATTATACAAGCATGGTACTATCCATTGCACATTTGAAATTAGTGTTGTTCACAGTTTGAATTGTCTTTTTCCCCACATCATGCTATGATGGATTTGGATTAAAAGTCATGCAGCATGATAGAAGTGCATTGTGTCTGACTCTTTCTTTTTCCAGATATTTTCAAGACTTCCAGATGTGTATTTTGGAAAGCTAGTGCATTAGTACATATGATGTGCCTAATGCAGCGTATATGTCCACAGGCCACGGCTATGGATATTTATTTGATTATTTACACTAGATACATAGCATGATATGTGAAGATTTTTCTAGAAAAATATTTTCACAATATGAATTTGTTAGGTTTTGTAAATATATTCCAATAATTAGTGTTTCATGTACCATTCTGGGGAAAGCAGTGTCCAGAAGAGCTCCTTATGTGAACTAGAGGGCACTGACGACTGTTAAGTTTATGAGACCTGGTTGGTTTTTCAAGTGGAAATTGTTATTGCTTCTCTGTCAAAGTTCAGTAGAAATACAGGAATGCTTTTATATTATGCTCTGACTGACCCATGTTGCCTGACCCAGCAAGCTAGCCCAAGCCCAACTCAAACAGCTGACTAAATCACAGCTCTAATTAAGAGGGTGTTTGTTTCCAGGGACTTATTGGTTTAGGGACTTAAAAAAGTCCCTATAAGTCCCACCTAAACCAAACACAAGGGACTTATTGGGACTTATTGTGGTGATTTGGGACTTATCAAATAAGACTCTCAGGGAGGAGCTTATTGGGACTTATCCCGGGCCGGACCTACCCCGCGTCACTCCAGGCTCGTTCCCCGCACGCCGCCTGCCTCTCGGTCCAATCGCCACCGCCGCCCCGCCTCTCGCTCCGTTCGCCGCCCCGCCTCTCGCCCCGTCGCCGCCCCGCCTCTCGCCCCGTCGCCGCCCCGCCGCCGCCCCGCCTCTCGCCCCGTCGCCACCCCGCCTCGGTTCGTTCTGCCTCGGTTCGCCGCCCCGCCTCGGTTCGTTCTGCCTTGGTTCGTTGCAGCGGTGCCTCCAATCGCCGGACAGGCCCTCTCCTGAGCCTCGTTGCAGCGGTGCAACATGGACTTATAAGTCCCTGTAAACAAACAGGTAGGGACTCGGGACTTATAAGTCCCTGTAAACAAACAGGTAGGGACTTGTGACTTATAAGTTGGGACTTAAAAAAGTCCTAGGACTTATGAAACAAACAGGGCCTAACATACAAGCCCAGTTGACAATTGTAGGTTGCGTGTTGGCTACCAAAGCAGAAATGTAAATTTTTACTTGTTCTTAAAACTTCACAGTATGTGGAAGACATACCTCAATATATCAACTAATGTTTGCCTCGTGGTCATTCTCATTGCCTTCTGGGCATCCTTCTGAAATGGAAAAACATACGCAAATTTAAAGCAAGGCAATGAATAAATGGAACATATGTATGAAATTGATGGCAGGTAAAATGAAATGGTGCTTCATGGGGGTCATGGTTTGTGGAGCAAACCTGAAGCACTCATGACTATTTCCAGAATAGTACAGAAAACAGAATACAGAATACAGAAAATATGAAATTCACAAACCTCTATCTGTCTCCTTGTCTTGGCAACATCAAGAGGGCATGTAACACCAGCAGCAAGACTACCTGCTACAAAGCCAGCAGCAAAGTTCGCTCCCAACACACTAGCCGCATCACCATCCTCTGCAACAAGACCAAGCAGCTTTCTTCGAATCTGCATGGTAACCTCAACAAGATAAGATGTATACCAAAGTAACTGTTAAATGGTTTAGCATATCTTAAACATGAACAACATGGACTTACCGGCTCCAGCGTTGACCAGCATATAGCAGAGAATGGAACATCCCGAGCAAGCTGTGCCCCCACACCCGTCCATAGAACACGATAGTTTTGCACTGCTTCAGCATTAATTAATTCATCAATCAGAACAATTTCTTGCCTCAAAAATAAAGAGTTCAGGTTGTTGGAATGAGGAAAACAGAAGCGCCAACTGGAAATTAACAAATTTAAAATTGAAGAACATGATTGATACTATGATGTTAAACATAAACCAGTATGCTAATACAAAATGAGAACGAACTATACCAACATACCATTCTGACTTGAACTTGCATGTGGTGAAAGAACACCAAGCAATGTTTTCCACATTCCAGGAGGCTTTACTCCAGGCTGAAATTCCTTATACGCCTGTTAACATAAATAATTACTTGATTGAATATTCAAAACAGATGTTCTTCTGCCCAGATCAAAACATGTCGTCTCTTCACAAAAATTTGCACGCGGTTAGAAGACACAAACATGTTCGTTGTAAAAAATATAGGGGTGTGACTTTTAAATTGTTTTACTATTTTTAGTTTATTACTGCTCACCCGGGAACACACCAATATTTGATACTTTCTATAAAACGAGCAAGATTATTACATGGGCCCCTAAAATTGTGCAAACTAAACTGTCCTCAAGATTATTTATCTGACATGAAATGAAATATACTAACTGGATATTTACCTGCATCCGTGTCCTTGCCAATTCAATTGGGGAACAAGCAATGCATGCGAGCGAGCGTGCAACTGATCCTGCTACTAGTGGGGCATATGGTGTCAACCCAGGAGCATTGCTTCTTGTAAAATCTTCAATCTTGTTGCGGAATATGTCATAGCAAGGCAAATATATTCCAACCTGTTTGGGATCAAAAACATGATCATGGACAAGATTCGTTTAGGGTGTGTTATACATTCACTAAGATATGAGAAACTAAGAGTAAATCAAGGCGGTCAACCCCCGCCTTACCGCCTAATGTATGCTTAAGCGCTTAAGGCGGAAAAAGTTTCAGGGCACATTACCACTCGAGCGCCGCCTTATGGACGCCTTGAAAACGATCAACAAATATGTGCAGGCTAGATGATATCTGCCTTACTTAACAGACAGTATGTCTGAGGTCAGAAGACAAAAATGACAGTGTTTACGTTGTTTAGGATATAGAATTATTTGCTCATACAAACTATTATTTACATATGCAGATTAATAACAGTTTCATATATGGCTTCTTCTATTAAGATGAGTTATACATGTATCAGCAAACCTGTAAAAACACCGAATTTGTTCTTGAAAAATAGGTGCAAATGACATGGAGAAGCGCAAGCTATTGCCTACTCCACACATACTCGAGAGGTTGGAGGTACTAACATGATTATACAGATTTCACAGAAGTTCTTTTTTTTAATAATAACGCAACACAAGGCACAACAAAATGTAGTATGACAGAGCAAGAGACTCACAGTTGGTATAGCTAATGCCAAGCCAGCATTTGTACCTCTCCATAATCTACCAAATCCTTCCTGAAACAAGCGATTAGCAAATATATCAACTATCAGTATCCACAGGATGTTAGTACAAACACAAGAAACTTTTGACGGCATTTGCGCTGCATTACCTGTCTAACAACTTTCAAGAATACATCAACTGTTCCCTTGTACTGAAAGCAATCGGGTGGGCAAATAGGTTCGCTTCCCAAAATGATACCACGTGTGCATGATGGAGAGCATCGCAACTCAGACAGTATCTGGAAAGAAGGCATAAGCAGCATTCCTCTAGTAAGCACAAGAAATAAATAGGTTATTTGTTTGATGGCTAACCTAGAACAATGGAACTGCTGAGTTCATTCAGACCATTAACATGAGTAAGCATTAAATAAATGAAAAAATCGTGTTATGTAAACGTGAATAACTTTGGTTCTGGAATATGATCGCAGTTTCAAGAGATTTCTAATGCCCATTTTCTTCCTATGCACAACCCCACTCCAGATTACATTCCAAGAAACACTACAGTAGATTTGAAAATGCATGTATAATTAGAAATAACAGAGTTTGCCAATTGCAAACAAAATCAGCAACAAGGTGACTAAACCAACATGCTTTTCTTTCCCTAATAATAATAAAGCACGGAGTGTTTCTGGTCGTCCGTCACACACTTTTTGCAAAAAAAACCTCTGTTTTCTGTAAATTAACCCGCAGTACACGTTTAAGTGACAACCGAATCGTTTTTTGCTATTTCTCAGAAAACCCCCTGACGTTTCAGGTAATCAACCCGCCGTCCATATTTAAGTCAGCTGAATCTTTTTTTATTTTAACAGAAACCCCCCCCCCCAACTCTTTAGTTAATCAATCCGCAGTTTATCTAAAATAAAATTATCCATATCTTTTAAACCGTAAATCCGATTTTAATATGTTATATATGAAATTTGATTAGAAAAATATGTAAAATCTAAATGTGGTGTTATTTTCAGCTGTTAAATATTTCTAAAATATTTTTTGGTGCAAACTTAATCTATATATAGTGCACG